TGGAGATGCAAATCAAGAACACCGATTTACATTGTCAATGCATGGAAATTATTTTTTTGCTCGAAAATTGCGATCAATTGTGAAAAAAAAACCGAAAGATTTCCAGCGACTTTCATATTCTTCTTATGAAAAAGAAAGAAAAACTGCATAGAAAACCGAAAAAAACAACAAATTTAACAAAATGAAAATTGTCGAACATAAAATGAAATTGAAAATTCCAAATGCAAATATCCCAATTTGAGCGAAGCATGTTTTTTCTTCTTCTTTTTCCAATCGCAAACAACAATTTAAACTAGTTCGAGAACATGGTGCATTTACGTAGTGAACCAAATGTTGAAGCGAGAAAAGAAAAGCTTTGTTACAGATTCACTGCGGTTTGTGAGTGCAAAGAAAAGTAGAAGAGAAAAAAAATGGGGAGCAAGTGGCTAGAAGACAAAAGCGCGCCAAACAGTTGCATAAATTGCAATTGAGTGAACGAGACCGAAAACAGAAAAAAAATGAAAATGGTTTTTTGTTCAACGCATGGCTGCTGCCGATGATTTTCGTTCAGCTCGATTATTATCTGTGCATGGCGCACTTTTGGCTGCTGCCAATGGCGATTGTTATACTTTTTCTCTATACCGCAACACACAAAGAGTAATTGCCTTGCAGCTCGTCTCCGATTTAGTCCGCAATCTCCTCACACTTGTTCATCATGCTAATCAAAATGAATCAGCCACTTGGTTTACACCGAGTTTAGATGTTTATTTATTGGCGATTGTAGTGGCGCGCAAACGCGCTCATGTTCGCCAGACAAAAAAAAATCAGCAACATATCTACATTTGCCACCATTTTATCCCTCTCGCTCTTCGATTGATTTCGGTGTTTCAGTTAAGTTATCCAACAAAACGATGATAATGACGATAGACAAGCCTCAAGAGTACGATAGATTGATAGATATTGTGTACAAGTGAATTCAAATCGCAATCTATCTCAATATACCCATCGAGATATTTTGTTGCAAACACATTTTTCCTTCCATTTCTTTCTGACAAATCGATGTTTGAGCTGCAGCTAGTTTCTTCTGATTTGTAATTAGTATGCATATGATTTCATTTCGTTTGGCGGTTTCGTCTCACTCTGAATCACCGATTTGTGTGTGTGTGTGTGTGTACCGATGATGCTCTAACCATTTTTTTATGTGCTTTACAAAATTGTACCGATTTTCGTTGTGTTTGTTGCATTTTTATTTTGTTTTTCATTTGGTTTGCTCAATTGTGTTCGGCTTCCATTTCCATTTTCTCCTCTGGCAGCCTCCACTATAAGTTGATCGCGTTTAATTGATTGCTGTGCTTGTGAAGGAGATAATTGATTAGCGAACACTGAATGCAACAGCAACAATGTTCTCGTTCAATGTCTTTTACTTTTCAGCATCGAATTTGACTAGGCGAGCTGGTGTTTTTGCAGCCGCAAAACATCATGTGAATCGTATAAAATAATGAGAGTGTTTTTTTTTTGGTTTTCGTTCGTTTAATTCAGTGATTCACACTTTATCCGATTTTTCACCAGCCAATTCATTTACATATACACACACCATTCGAAAGGGTTGTTGCTTGCTTCAAGACATTTTTTACATTCACTTTTCATATCTATTTTTATACCAAAATACACTGATATCGGTAAATTTCGCAATAAATATTGCCAACATGAACAACAAATGTTCAAACAAACGAAAAAACAAACAAATATTTAAAATACGAAAATTCATCCAATTTCCGGTAGTTGTATCTTTTCATCGGAATCCGGTGGAAATTCAAATTACCGGAGGGAAATTCTAAACATGAAAAACATACATCAATTTGAATAATATTCATTCGATATGATTAAAAACAGTAATTAGAAAATGACGAAAATGCTTGCTCTTCAACTGTAATTATAAGGCTTGAGAATTGGCCTGCAGAGCAAAAATTCATACGATAGCCATCAACATCAATGTTGATAAGCGGTGGTAACTCTATCTTTATTGTAAATTTTTAAACAAGACAAATTTTGAGCTAAAAACTTTCATCTAAGCAAGGAAAGAATCTTGGTCAAACTTTTGGTGTTTTTAGTTTTACCACGCTCTTCAGGCTCATTTATCATGCGAATTTGTTCAAGCGCCTAAATTTATAGCTCATCCAGCAAATAGCTTTCACCGCCAAGCTTTCGTTCAAATGGTCTAAAAGAGGTGGAAGGCTTCAGTTTTAGCACATCAAAGCTTTGAATGAAGCAATGAGTGTACTTCTGAAAATTCGTAAAAGAATAACGGTTCATTCTCACAAAGCTTGAACTCAAGCTTAACACATTAATCGCTTCACATTTTTCACATTCGTCCAAACCATTGAAGGCCTAACTTATGATTTATGGCTTCGATTCAATACCAAAACTTTCTTCGAAATTCTTTTGATCGTTGAACAGTATCTTTTTATGGGATAAAGAGAAAAAAAATTGCCCATTACTTGAGAAAATGAATTTTTTGCTTTTATTTCAAAAAATACACATTTTATGCTTTAATATCAATTCTGAGGAAATGACTGATTTTGTTTCTATCACGATTTTCCTTTTATTTTGATTTCGGTATTATTAAGAAAATGAGAAACAAAAATGAAAAATAAAATGGGAATAAAACAAAAATTGAATGCATTAAAGTCATTGACATTGGATGGTAAAATCGATCATTCATTGGGTTATCATTAAACCAAGTTATCATCAAATCATTGGACAAATATCTTTCTCATTCATTGATTCAATCAATGTTACAAATAATTATTATTTGTTCATTGGATTAGCGAAACTCAGGCGAATTTCATCTTGGTTAAGCGATCATCGATCAAATAGCCGAAAACGTAGATTCGGGTAAAAAATGGACTTGTTCCCGATTCTATATGTACACTAATTTGTAACAAATGCAAGCGGCTGTCAATTCTTCAATCCAACGACATATTCCGGGACGAAAATTCTTTCCTTTCTAAATTCCCGATGCTATTGTGGAAACAGATAGTGTCTCAATCCAACTCTTTAGTATATTGTTCATTTCAGTCCGGATTGCGACCTCTGCTATTTACAAAAAAAAAAACAAATTATGGTTTCGGTGATTTTTTCGCGAGATTTGCATCTCCAGAAGATTGAACCATGCATCAATAACATGATGTATTGCAATAAAATGCATCATTTCCTGTTCGAGTTCGGTATTTGGGACCCACATTTTTGATGTACGATACTGACGTATTTCACATTTTCTCAAATGAGATAGTCAAATGAAACGTCAAATCGTTTTTCATGGTTTTGATACGGTGACGATGTACATATTTACCGATCCATTTGCATTGTTTCACCTTCGAAATGGGAAATTTTACTTTGGATTCTGTTTGATTTTACTTTGGATGTTGGTTTGAGTTTGTTTTAAAATTAGTGCTTAAGCTTGAGCTTTTTAATTGAGTTTTTTTTTATTTCTATGGTTTCATCGTAGGCCATGGGTGATCGGATAACAATAATTGTGATTGAACAAAAATGTTTGGTTTTCAGTGAAATTTTATTTGATTTTTTTTCTCTCTCTCTCTCTTTCTCTAATTGAACATAAAGGTGAAAATATCTCTAATTATGTTATCTTCTTACGTTTTATATTTCTGTGTAAATGGGTGTCGTTTGTAATATTTATGGCTTTTGCCGATTGAATTACGATCAACGAGTTAATTTTCGAAATTAAAGAAGAAAAAAAACAAATCCTATTGTTTCTCGGTCAAAACGAGATGACTCAGTCGAGTGAAAAAAAATGCATGAAAAAGCAAAATCAAAACAAAAATTGGAGAAATGATCATGAGTCATCGATAGTTGGGAAAATTCAACAAACGACAACAGAAAAAGGAAAGAAGATGTTATGTGAGCACAGTCGATGTTGCGTGCGGTGGTTAAATCCCCGATACAAGACCGAAAACCGAAGCACAACGCATACGACGAGATCACATCACCAGAGAGAGAGATAGAGATTTCGCGATGCAACGTAACGACAAAAATACAGTTTTGGTGAAATCATTTTCTCTTGTGAATTACGTTTTAATGTTGATCAAGCGTTTCGTGGTTGTTTTGTTGTTTGTCAGATTCATCTGACAAGATTTCTAGTTTGACCGCATTGATGGATTCAATGTTTGACGAACGTTTTACGCAACCATTTTTAGTGCAAAATATTCAGTTTAACAATGAAATACGTTTTTTTTCAGTTGGAGAGAAAAAAGAGTGAATGTTATTGTATTATGCCGCATTATCTTGAAACACACCGTTGCCGCTGCCGTTGCTGTTGCCGCTGCCGTTGCTGTTGCTGCTGCTGCTGTTATCTCGCCGGTCGATTCAGCATCGGATGGAGGAAGTATTAAAACAAAAAGTATTTCACCCACTTGTGCGTTGATGATTTTTCGTCAGTGTGTCACTAAGGCATATACACAAATCACCGTTGAACGTCAAGCAGATCAGCCAGCCCAGCTACAGACACACCGTGCACAGCTCCAAATAAAACAACAATAAGAGAAAGAAAACGATATTAGTTGGTTAACGAAAGTCAACGAGTACAGTTGTTTCGTGCGAAGCGCAAAGAAAGAGAGCTCAAGATATCAAGGGAGAGAGACTGAGTGCAGAGAGTGTGTACGAAAAACAGAGAGAAAGAGAGAGAGCGAGAAGCGAAACGACCCGAGAGAAGAAACAGAAAGAAAACGAATTACACACGATCCACATGCATGAAGTCACGGGAGCGCCCAATTGTTGGAAATCAAGAATCGTAGAGTGATTATAGCAACGAACGAAAACCTCACATTGTTAGTCGATTGCTGAGACGAGACACATTCAGATCGTGAAGTTGAAAGAAACACAAATCACAAGCCAACAACAGAAGTTAAACCCATTTTATTGCATTCATCGCCGAAAACTACAAGAAAATAAATCAAGTGCGACGAGAACAACGACGACGACGACGACGACGACGACGACGACGACGACGACGACGACGACGACCACGATCAAAAGAAAAGAGAAAATTCTTGCAATTTTCCCCATTTCGAGATCGGTTCGAGGCTCATTGAGTCGTTACAAAGTTGAGTCAAAGAAAAAATCTATTAAATTGCGGTTGTATCAAGTGCACCAAGCAATTGTGGTTCAAACGTTTGAAAATTTAAGGAAAAAAAAAGCGAACAGCATATCCTAAAGACAATCGCGTATGCACTGACACGTGTAATAAGACTGATAAAACCTGATCGATATAAAACGTTCGGCCCTTTTTTTTCGTGAAAAAAAGAAGTTTTTCTTAAAGACAACAATTAAAAACACGTTGGATTTAACGGTAAATTTGAATTGATTTGAACTGCATCGCAGGCGATTTTTTCGACTTTTTTTTCATCTTGTTAATGTGTCGCATCGTGTAGAATAATCAAAAATTCAAATTAGTAAGAGATAGAAAAAAAACAACAAACCCAAAAAAAAGAATTCTTCATCGAAATTTCTATGGTCAAAATTCGAGTCGAAGAAGAAACAAGAATTTCAGGTGTTTTCGGTGGATTGAAAAGACGCATTGAACCTTTTACAGTTTTGTGAAAGAGAGAAAAAATCAGAAGAATTAACGAAGAAAAAACCAAAATCATAAAATTTGGTGCATCTTGTTTCCAGTTTTATTGTGTGTGTGTGCGCGCTTTTTTTTATTGTTGAACACAGAAAAAAAAATACTTTTGTTATTGCTGTTGGTATTCTCCAAATTCTCCCGTTGTTTTAATTTGTTTTCGTTGGTTGTGCGCGTGCGCGTAAACATATCACGTTAATATACTGCCCATGCTGGTTTGGTTAAGCCCAGGCTGTTGCTGCTGCTGCGTCTTCTTCTTCTTCGGTTGAAATGTACATTTCGCTGTTGTAGGAGCCAAACCGTAAAATTTGGGTCAAGTTTAAAGAAATTCCAATCTGACTAGGTGTACTGTTGGTGCCGTTGCTGCCCATTGCTGCTGCTGCTGCCGCTGCTCTTCACTCGTTGATGATTTCATGTGCATACATGAATTGCTTTCATTCGAAAATATTTCTCTTGCTCACACGTAAGTATAAACTCAAACCTTATCGCGGTGCTTCTATTTCATTTGATTCTTCATTTCATATCATCATCATGATCATATTTTGTTTTATATATTTTATTTCAACGGGTATCGCTTTTTTCTGTATTTCGTCCATTCGTTTTTGTTTTTTTTGTTGGCTCATTTTGCTTTTTGTTTGCGTTTTTTTTTTGCTGTTCGGCAATTCGCGCGCGGCCAATTGCTTGTAATCCGCTTGCGTTGCGCGTAGCTGGAATTTCTGTTTTATAAGTGAAAATCGATACAATTTATAAACTGGCGCGAGAGATTAGCATGAGTCACGATTAATTGATTTTAAAATGAATTTTATCTTCTCCTTTTTGCTGGTTATTGTTGTTGGTGTGTTTTTTTCTGCATTCGCACTAACTACGAAACGAAACGAAACGAAAATTCCACAATTCGATGGATTTAATGAAGATGATTGTAAGAAATTTTTTTTTCTCTAGTATTTTTGTTTTGGTGTGGGCGTTTCTCTTCTTTTATCGTGCTCATATCTCTTCGATTTCGTTTGGATGTTACTTTTTTTTGCGATTCGTGTTGTTCGTGGTCTATCGATTGGTTCGTGCGGTGGCGCGCACTTAATCAATTCCCAATAAGAATGAAAAGCAAATCATAACATAATCGCCGTTGATTGACTAACGAATCGGCTGCTCGCTTTTATAAAATGTAAAACAATTCAATATCACGCTTTTGTTTTTGCATTTTTGCTTGTAAGTGTAGGTTCAATGGTCAATTTTTGTTGCTTTTTTTTATGCTTTCATTTCTGTTAAGTAGAATTGTGCGTGCCACTCTCACAAACCCCAAATCATGCACACGAGAGAGTGAAAAAAATGCGCGAAAAATCAACAACGATGACCAATCGAAATTGTTCGATATGCAAAGCCATAATAGAAACTGACGTGTGTAGCGTACACACACGAAAAAAGAATGAAAAATCGGTGCACACGAAAATCGAATCATCCAAAAAGCGAATGAACGCAAAGACAATGGCGAATTGGTTGAAGCCATGCAAAAATGCCGCGCTAAAGATATCATAGACTTGACAATTGAGCATACACAACGCGGCATGTACACGGAAAGAAAATTAAATGAATGAATGCCAAAGTCTCGCTCTCAGTCAGTCAGTCAGTGAGTCAACAAACGAAATAGAAAATGTCGAACACACTCCGTGCACGGGGAAATGCCAAGGAAAAAAATCTAGTCAATACAACGAAGACGTAGACGAAGAAGAAAGAAACAGCAAAAACAACAACAACTATAATGACGATGACGAGAAACGAGCTGAGTTTGATTAAAACAGAAAAGAGAGAGAGAGAGAGAGAGAGAGAGCGTGCGAGAAAAAAAATTCTTCCGCTTTCTCTGTGCATGTATACGCACGCGCGCGCGCACACCAAAAGCGCATTGACACAATGTAGCACATTTCGGGTCGTGCGATGTAGGCGATGAACATTGATGCTCGTTTGTTGAGTTACATTCTTACGCTCGGCTCGTTCAAGCTATTTCCTCTCAGCAATTTATATCGATCCATGGCCAAAACAATGTGCGATCCCAATGTGCACGACGACGGCATTTTATTTTTGAAAGGTCAAAAATAATTTTCGGACAGCGTGGTGTTTTTGTTGTGGTTTTCGTTTATTGTCTATTTTGAATTTGTTTCGCGCGCGCACGTTCAAATGAATTACTTTGGCATGGGGAGATGTGTCGGTCTTTTTGGATGGGAACGATCGATTAATGGACAAAATAGAAATTGCCAAAGCGACAATAACAAAGCCAAACAGACACTGACGACAATAAAAAAGTGAATCACACACCAAACACGAAACAACAACAACAACAACAACAGAAAAACAAGTGTTGGAGTATCATTACACGGAATATATGTGACGAATCGAAGTGATTTGATTGTTGCTGTTGTTGTTGTTGTTGGCAGCGTAGCCATGGCGTGTGCGCACAGTTCTACTTTGAGCATTTCATTACTTTCTACTTCATTATCCCAAATCCGTGGCAAGAAGAAGAAGCAGAAAAAGCACACACGGCAACGAAACGTCATGTGTATGTGATTTTTCTCTTGCCTGCATGGTGAAAACCGGTTAAATGTATTTTTTCAGCAATTTACATATTTAGGATGATGTGTGTACGTTCTTTTCACTTTTTTCGAACGAGGTTTTTTTTTGATTCTCTCTCTCAGTACTTGATCAATGTTCTTTTTTTCTCTTCAGCGTCAAATAATTGAGAGTCTCAAATTGAGACTCTCAATTGGCGACAAATGATCGGCGATCATTGATTACAACGAATTGAATGGAATGGTATAGACAGAGAGACGCCGAAAATAGTTTCAAAATGACGTTGGTCATATTTATGACTATGGATTTCCCATCAAGTCATTTTGGTTAGCCTAATTTCATCCATTGCATTGCGGCGCTTGGTATAAAGCTCTGAGAAAATCAAACGGTACAGCTTAGCCGAACAACACATTTAAATTCATTTTTGGTTGAGCGATTTAAACCGTTCGTTCGTTCTATTTTCAATTCACCATATGATTAGCAAAAACCCTAAATGGTGTTCTATTCGATCGTGCTTGTTTTGTCGTCACATCCATTCGACGTGTTCCGTCTCACTCGTCCAACTTTCTTCACGTCTCCAGTGGCGCGTCGGTGGCGGGTGTAAGTTGACGCATAGACAAAACATACATGTGCCGGATACAGCATTTAGCAAAATATCAAATGCAAAACATTCCACACCCGTAGTCTATGCATTGTGTTCTTGGAGTGTGCCAATTTTTCTGTGTCAAAAAGTGTTGCTTTTTTTTCGTTGATTTAGAATGAATGCTTTTTTACTTCGGTTGTTCTTGTCGTCATCGTCATCGTCATCGAATGAGGTTCGTTACCTGTCTTTCTATTCTTCGCCATACACACCAAATCTATTTATGCTGCTATATGCACACGTTGACTCAATCGTTCGCTCGCTCTCTCGCACATGAACTACACCTCCTCCAAACAGTGTATGCGATGTTGCATGTCTTTCTTTGGTATAAATTTTTTGATTACCGATTTTTTTCGCTTCTTCTTTCTTCATTATTGTTCTGCCTGACTGGGTATTGTATTCTTGTTGAGAGGTGCTGCTGCTGCTATTTTATTTTCTGCAGCCTTCATTTACGTTTTGCTTTTAATTTATTTCGACTAAATCAAGTCGCTTTCATATCGAATACACACATGCATGCCCCAAATATAATTGTATGAATCTTTTTATATTCGTTTGTTATTGTTGGAATCCACCATTCGCCACCTTTTTAAATGAAAGAACGCGAATGTCATCGACCAAAAAGAACCTACACTAAACGACAAAAACACACCATTTTGCTGGAGAAAGAAGAAATTCGACATCATGCAGTGCATACTAACGAACGGAAAAAAAATAGTAACAAAGAACACACCTAGAGTTTAAAATCAGATAAGGCATAAAATAAAGCACAGCTCAAAGTAAAGAGACGATGGCATTTTAATGGGGCACACACTAAACCGACAAATTTAATAATAAACAACGAAACAAAACAAAACTAAATCAAACAAACACACACACACACATCAGTGACATATATTTTCTCTCTGCGTCTCTTGACATTCATTCTAATGGCAGGGCGGCTCAAACAAATAGACTAGCAAAACCGCCAACAACAATTCACATTAAATTATGTTTTGTTTTGTTTTCAAAAGTAGGGAAAAACATTGCGTTTCATTTATATGTTTTCCAGAATGTTATTCATTATATTTATCTATTTCATTTTCATAATTATATCGTTTCTACAGGGTTTAATTATCAATCACGTTGAGAAGATACACCGCCAGCTAAAGAATACACAAACACACGCACACACTACAATAATAGCTACGCCAAGAGCAACAAACGTTGTTAAGTTAAATAGAAATAAATATGTGGCGTTTATTTATTGTGGCACTGTCAACGGCAATCGTTTGCTGTTCGGCCGAAATCGGATCATATGATTATGACAATAAAATTGAAGAGAATACAACAAATGATCGTGATAATTTGACATCGAACGTGTACGTTTTGCCCGAGCAAATTTTCAACGATGGCAAACCATTTTATGTGAAAAAAGACTCGTCGGGTTCGATTGATTTTAATGCAAAAACCACACCCGAATCGCTGCCAACACCAACCGATGCGATCAGCACTCAAACCACCACCCTGAACAATGGTGCCGTTGCCAATGAGATGAATAGCACACGTAAACATGATATTAGTTTGGATAATACCGTTCGAACACAGAATATCCATGATTTTTTGAATTTACCCGTAAAATATCAATCATCGAAGTTCGTGTATCCGCTGGTGTCCAGCTCATATGCCAATCTCAAGTATCAGGGTAGCAATAAAAACTATGTGTCCAATCACAAATTAGATTCGTCGACGGTGAAATCAGTGGCATACACCACGAAAAAATACAAATCCACATATCCAACCAAATCGTATACAGCATCGTTCAGAACGAGTAGCACAACGGAATCATATGATAGCAGTACAAAAGCTACGCCATTGACAACGACAACAGCGAATAATACGCGAAAATATGCCAGCATTCCGCCACGAACATCAACGCCAGGAAGACGTTACACAACACTTTCAAGAGTGAGCAGTACAACGGTGCGTAATAGTTTGCCGAATACAGATGTTAAATTCACACGAGGCCGATCGACAACCACGACCACCACCACCACCACCACAACAACAACGTCAACGCCTATTGAATCATTTGAAAATTCATTCGTAACACCAACACCAACACCAATTGCAAGTTCAACAGCCGTTGCACCGGAGCACAAAAACAACAAGAATGCTACCGCTGAAGATACAAAAGATGGTGATAGCATGGGCATTAGCGACTTATTCTGGAATTTCTTCTCTAACAATGAAGAAAACGATGAAACCGAAGCCACAAAAGTGACACCATCGACTACGGTGATGACATTGCGACCAACCGTTTCGACAACACATGCACCTCTGAACACAAGAGATTATGCACATACGCGACCGTATACCAGTCGATACAACATCACAATGGATTCGGCAACACGAAAACCAATCAATCGGACAGTTATACAGTCGGAGTTGAGCACATCCACGATTCGTTCAACCGAACCGATCGGAGATCGATTTGCTTCGGCATCAACGGCATCATCATTGATCGCCGACTATGGTGATAAGACGACAGTGCATGCTGGCAAATTCCGTCCACCAACCAATGTGAATAATATTCGAGTATCGCCCGGTGCAAATACAGTAACATTCGTTACAAATGGCCAAGTTTCAGCGGCTACCAGCGGCATTGGCTTTGACAATGTTCATCCATTCGGTGAGCAGAATACGTACAAAGGCCCATTCCAACCACCACCACAAAATCATATGAATAACATTGTTGTTTTGCCCGATTCGAATTCAGCATCGTTTGTGGCCACCGGTCAATTACAAACCACAAATCGTTTCGATCAAAAGCCCGTCGCGCCTCAAAGTGATAACAACAACGTGCACCGACCAATCTCCAATCAAAACAAAATCGATGAAACAACGAAACCGGGCATCACTTTCATTTCAAAGGGTCATGTGACATCGGCCGAAGCGTATGATAATCCAAACCAGAATAATGTCGTTTTCCATGGACCATCCGCATCGAATTCGAATAACATCGTCATTGCGCCGGGCATGCACACCGCATCGTTTGTAACGACAAGTCAAATGTCATTGGGCGGCGGTGAAAAACCATTGCCTCCAGATCAAATTAAAAATATTGAAAATGAGATCAATGTTTATGGGCCGGGATTGCAATCGACACAACGGCCACATGGATTTTTGTTGCCATCAACTACATCGATTCCAAAACCAGTTTATACGATTATCGCGCAATCGGCCAGCAATGAAAATGACACGCAACACATTCGATTCCCCAATGAAAACGGTGAAAATGCAGAGAAATTGATTGCAAACCCGTCCATTCAGACACCCGAAGCCATCACGACGAATAATACAATCAAATTCCCACCAGCAAAAAATCAAGTGCCACAAGCCGTTCTACAGATACCACAAGCACCACCAGCTCCACCAAGTGAAGGAGGTTTTGTTAAATTCACCGATACTCGCAACGAAATCACCGATGGCCAGATCGATCCAAACAATTACAAGCAAATCATTCAGACACCATCGTTGCCAGCCGCCGGTAATTTCGTTGTATTCCGTCCACAGCCAGTGATTGCTGTACCACAACCACCGCCAACATTGGTCATGGGAATGGGAATGCCTCAAATGATTCGTAACACACCATTTTTATTCAAGAAACAGCCAACATTCGTCCATTATCCGCGCAAAAATTACACACTTCCGAATATTCTGCCACAGTTCCGGCCATCAACTCAACCGCAACCACAACACCAAATCTCATTGAGCCCCGAGATTGCCAATCAATTGCGTCAAGGTCAACTAAATCGTGCACAATACCTGTACAATGCCCAGAATCTACGGTACAAAATGCCAATGCAGTATATGCAGTATGGCCAACGCCCAATGCAAATGCGACCACCGTCGCTGGCCGATCAAACGCAAGCGCAAAATCGACGTCACTTTGAATTGCATCCGGGCAATTTCAATCAGCGAATTTATGATCGTCCAATGCTACCGTCGCATCTATTCAATCGTAACACAATTGTTGGAGCAAACGCATTGCTCGTCGAACCGCAACGATTCGAAGAAAATATGAAAGTTACAGCGACAAATGGCAATCTGGACGGTAGTATCAGCAACGGTAGCGGTAGTAAAAATGTGGATTTCGAAAATGGTGACGGCAAGTTGATGTCTGCACAGTCAATTGTCGAAAGTCAAAAAGAAATACCAAAAGTGGAACCAGTTACCACACTCCAAATGATTCAGCATCAACGACTTTTGCAAAAAACCGGTGGAATTGTTGCCATGAATGGTTTGTCGGGCAATAGAAATGCAACGGCAACGGCAACGGCAACGGCCACAAACACTGACACAAACGGTAGCGAGAAGCCGTTGTATGTTGTATATCCGATGCAAAAGCAATCGATAGCCGGTCACATTCAGATGCAACGCGGAAACGGTGGTGAAATTTTGGCCGATCAAATGCATAAACCGGCAACCATTCAACAGCTTGGACTGCCATACACATTGGAAAAGAATAAATCGCGTTACATACTCAATAGCCGACCTGCTTATGAATTGGAAAAAAAATCAGAACAACAACAGGACCCAATTGCTGCTGCTGCCGCTGAAAATGACGAAGAAGACAGGTGAGAATATACATATATATATACATTTATTATATTTCATATTTCATATATCTGTTTTTTTGCATGCAAGAATTTTTCTCTCCTTTTCTTCTTCTTCTCGTTTTTATCGCTTTGACGACGTTATCATCGTTTTTTTTTGTTTCGTTTTTTTTTCTTAAATGACTTGACCATAATAATCAAAAACCACTTTTCTTTCTCTGTTTTTTTTCTCATTCTATTTCGTTTTGGGTTGGTCGTTTTCATGTCGTTGTTGGCCGCTTGGCTCATACACAGTGATCGTCCTATAGCAATTGCTTATTCGCCAACTGAACCAAATCCATCTCATTTGGCGGATGTGTATCGTCCGACGCCAGCTCATCATAATCATAATCACCACAGTACGCCTGTATTTGCGAACGCTCCCGTCGCTAACAACCATAACGATGGCTCGAATCTCAATGCAAATCAACAATTTCAGGCACCATTCATACCAAGCATTAATTTAGAGAATACCCAAAGTACACATAATGGTTGGTTAATTGTGACACCACCGTCTGTTGCCAGTGGTTCGTTGAACGTTGATTCGAAGAGCAATCGAATCAGTGCATCGCTCGTAAATTCAAATGCAACTGCATCAATCAGCCGATCGGACAGTGAAGAAACGGCCGAATCGGTGGCTAGTGTTGAAAATACAACGAGAAAATTCGATTTTGCCAACTTTACACCCGATTTCCAAAGTGGTTTTGTGCCAATCTACAAGGCGAGCACCATTCCACCGGCATCAGCACCAGAGGCGGAAAAAAGCGGACCAACCGCTCAAACACGGGCCGATAGTGACATATCCGATCGTTCTGATATCAGCTTAGAATCCTTAATCTATGACGATGAAGAAATGTAAGCAGACAAAAAAGAAAAGAGAAATTCACAACAAAACACCTGACTATTTATTTATATACATAGAATCTAAAATGTAAAATCGATTATCTATTGACCGCGATTAGTGGCTTAAGTGTGCACGTAGGAACAGCAAAAAAAAATAACATCAATTAATCAATGTGTGTTTCGGTGTATACATATTTTTTTCGGTATCTTTGGATCGATTGCGAATTTAAAATGAACGACCGCTACTTAAACATTCTTGTGGTGGCGACAGCAATCGAAAGAGTGAGAGAAAAGAATGAAGAATATGTAAAATATACACACATAAACACGCGCGCACAATTCAATAGAATATCGATACTCTACCGTAATACTTTGCTGATTTTAAGTAGGCTACTAACTTATAATTTATTTACGAATCCGAAGCGAAAGACAAAACAGAATCGCACGGCAATAGAGCATACAAAACAACAACGGCAGAAAAATAATTTCGAATAGAAGGCAGATGTATGTAAATTTATGTAAGACATGATGAAAAACCATAAGAAGGTGAGTGAGTGAGAGAAAGAGGGAAAAAGATATTGAGACGGAAAAAGGGAGAGACTTACATATTTTATTTCTGAGGATTTCATTCCAAGACACAAAAAGACAAGAAAGAGAAAGAGAGACAGCGAGTAGAAAAAAGAACAACGGTGTTATCAAATCAGCCATATAATAGTAGCAGTAAAGTAGAAAGAAGCAAAAGCATATACAACAACAAAAATTGTAAAAGTATTTATATAAACATGAAATGTTGTCGCAATGACAATGTGAATAATCGTGTCAAATTCTGATGCTAAAAAGACTTAAAGACGTTGTTGTACCATTTTATCCAACGCGAGATCAGGTTCGTTTTTCGACGCATCGAAGTGAAAGACGCAACCCGATGAATATGTGTACGTATGTAAAAATTGTGTAATTTTGTGTAAACCAAACGATGGAAAAAGAGCAACAATCGCGGCGGAAAAAAAATGATCCAAAAAAAAAACCATGTAAAACTGTTTGCAGTTTTTTTGCTTGGGTTTTTTCTTTTTGCTCTTCAAGATGATTCGACAACTTTTGTGTAAGAAAATCATCGCTACGGATGACGCACAAGCTTACTGATGCAAATCATACAAACACATACCGAGATTACATATTTTTGATGTAAATTCATTTAATAATTTATGCATACAAATCATTCGTGTGTGTGTGTGTACGTTCTTTTTTTTCGTTTGTTTTAAATTATTTATTTATTTAGTAATTTATTATTTATACAGTACTGAAATCGATAGTTGCAACCATTTCGAGTAGCAAATGTAGTGTATCAGGGGTTGCTGCTGTTGAGTTCACACTGAAAACAAAATTTCGTATACAGTTATACGGCTCTTTAAATTTATTGTAATAATAAACTAATTTGATGGAATATATATACTATTATGGTAGTTGCAAATGAGATAACGCGAAGGTGAGAGTAGAGAAAAAGAGCCGCCGCTGCTGCAGCTGAAGAGATTGAGCGAGAGCACTCAATGTAATGTGCGCGCTAAAACAAACACACAAAAAACGTTAGCTTAGCTATAATTGAATCACGCACAAAATTTCCAAATATAAATCGCTGGCAAAGTGGATTTTTCCATCGAAAAAGAAAAACTACTTGCTGCGTTGCATGTACGCGGTATTTTTTTCGGCATGTATCCAAATTTCCTTTCCAGAGACACACAACGACCGACAGCGGGAGAGAAACAACAAATAAAACGCGACCAAAGCACCAAAAAAATAATAATAAATCATAGAGAGATATTTATGCACTCGTTTCACTAATTACAGCGCGAGCAAAAAAGAAAAAGAAAAAGCAAATGAGAGATGTTTGTACCACAGTTTTTAAAAAGAAGAAACACACAGAGAAAAAAACAACAACAATTCGATGTAGTAAATTTTAAAAAAAGACATGTTTATTTTTTATTTTTTCTTAAATTTTTCTGTTTACTTCATTTGCTCACTCTCCCTATATCTCGCCGATAGTTTAAATTTCGTCAAGTAGAAGAAGAAGGAAAATATAATGAAATAGAAACTGTTTGCATGTATTACTAGATTGTAACCGATCTGGAAAAAAAACACAACAGAATCCGTAGTAAATAAAATGAAAGTTTTTTTTTTGTAACAAAACACATGGATTTTTGCGCATTTATTTTGTTCTTGTAGCATTGGAGTCTTTTTCTCGCTCTTTTCGACATGATGTCAACATGGTAAGGTAATGGAGAAAAACAAAACACGTACAACGAAAACGCAGTGACACAAATGAAAAACAGAAACAGAAGCGAAAATAACAGACTCACGAAAAATAAAAACGACAAACTCAAAATTAATTGCACGCGACCAAAAGACATGGCGATTGTGTGCTGTGTGTGTGTGGTTCGCGAGAAAACTAGATGAGAAAATAAAACGAAATAACATACTATTAACACCGAATTGTCCATTTCATTGTTAAGAATTGATCGGAAATTCCTATGCACGACACGGCGTACAGTGTACAGCACAGCATACGGATGGCGTCTGTCGGACGAACAGCATATACACTTTAGAAAATCACGAACTCACCTTTCGCCCTCTTTTGTTTTCTTTAACACCGTTTCCGTGATTATGCCATTCAAATTGTTATTGCTCGTTACATGCCAGCGCAAAAACTTTCGCTTGCAATAAATCAAATTTTTAACAAACATAGCACATTTTTGTCACCATTCATTATGAATTCGCTGTCGTTTACTGAAACAAAACAAAAAACTCTCTCTTTCTTTCTTCGTCTCTTTGCCTCTGCGTGTGTCATCCGTGCATCTCTCACCCAAGACAATGTGTTTGTTCTGCCTCTGATGGATGACTTGAATGATTGGTGCGGGAACATGACGAAGAACTCGAAGCGCCCGGCTCACATCAGTTTTCACTTGAGGCGAACCGAATCATTGTAATGTGTACAAACACTCTTCAAGAAGTGTACATGACCGTGCCCGTAGAGAATTAAGTCACGTAACAGCAGAAAATTTTAATTATTGCGTTGGATGCTGACACGATGCCACTGATTATTTCTTCTTCTTTTTTTGCCAAAGTCACACGGAACATGCCATTTTTCTCATAGAAAAGAATAACTGCAATCAAGTGATTTATCAAGAAAATGATAATTGAACCCAGAAAGCGAGAGAGAGAGAGAGAGGAAGAGAATAAAAAGGTCATTGGATATGATTTCTTCGCAATTATACATGTATTTATTATTCAAAAAATACAAAACACATTCATCTTCATTATGTCATCAAATCAATGTCCAGTATTTGTTCCTTCTGACATTGATTTGCTGCACTCGTCTTCATCCAACACGATGGATACCAATTAATTATTCATTTATTTAATGTTTTTTGTGTGTGTGTGTGTTTTTCTTTCTCATTCAATTAAATATTACAATTAATATTACTATCATTATTATTGTTATCGATTTTTGTTACGGTTCTGGGTGTGTCTCACTTATAATTCATTGTTTTGAGAGTGGAAAAGAGTTGAAAGAAATTTAGCGAAGTTATCAAATTTGGTTGCATTTAGAATTTGTGTGCAGAAACCACACAGTCTTGCTAACGAAAAAAAAAAATGATAAAGTCGACACTTGTTTGCTAATTTTGTTTCTTTCAAATTCAACTTTTCCGCAATAAAATTTGTTCAGTGTCTTTACATTCTTTCATGTGATACGTTAAATAATTTCTAACAAATGTCCAATTTCTGGATTTATTCGCAACTTGTTTGCGTCAATTTATGAAATACATTTTACTTCTTCCACTAAATCCATATTTTCCCTTCATTGTTGTGTGTCTCTGTGTATGTGTTTGTGTGAGTGTTTTTCTTTTAAAAACTATGAAAGAAAATACAAAAATTATTTGTTATAATAATCAAGTTAATAATCATCTTAAATTCTTCAATTCCATAGATTTTTTCAGTGTGGGGTGTTGTTGTAGCTTGTTTCATATTTTTTACGAACTGATAAAGAAAATGACGGACGAAACAACATGTCAACACATTGATTCGATAGATAAATGTTGCCCTACCATGGTTGTTATTGTAAACCATATAACCCCAAAAACGAGCCCGAAAAAAAGAGAACAAATTTGATTTCTTTACTTTTGATAAACTCAGTGAGACTTTTCCACATTTTTTTCTTTCTTATTTCGTCTTGATTTTCAAAACCACAAACCAATTGGATTCTTAGCCAACATTGATATAATATGTACATGGTAAAAAAAAATACATCAACAACAACACTGATGCTGAGCAAATCAAATGATATAGAGCTCATTTAAATAATGGATTTTAAACCGCGAGAAATGCCTGCGCTTGAAATGATTTAATTGCCGTGTCATTAGCTTCACACTGCTTCTTTAATTGTTTTCTGTTATTGTTTTTTGTTGTTTCTTCTTCATCAAGTCGTCGACGTCGATCTTTTTTCTTCTCCAATGAAACATTACACAATTACAATTATTCACTTATTATGCTTAAGCGTCAAAAGAGAAAAAAATGCTTTTTGCGTCTATGGTGTTGATTTTTTTTGAACACATGAAGTGTTGCTGTTATTGTTGTTTTTGGTTGTAGATCATAATGTGGGATTCTTTCATTTTGCTATTGTAAGTGTGGCATTTGAAGTTGATGGCAAAGCCAAAGTGAAAGAGATACTCTCCCGATCACACACACACACATATCAGGCAGGGCAACAACATTCTCGGATGTTGAACAGAGTTCAGATTTGTTTTTTTTTCTCATTCAATTTAGTTTTTTCTTCTTTATTTTTTTCTGCTGTTATTGTTTTTCTATGTGTTCGTAAACTTGCGTAACTTTCATTTGATTCACTAAACAATTGGTCAATTGGATAATTCAACTTATAATTTAATATCCTTGCAAATAGTACAATAATATGAATTACTTTCCCATTCTATCTTTTGCCATTGATCAGTCAAGTTGAAATTTAAAAATTAAAAATTAAAATTGAAAACAATGTATACATCATAAATTTTCTTCCTGATTTTTTGTCCCAAAATAAAAAACGAAAAAAAAAATCATCAATTTGTGGAATAAGAAATTTTTGTTCTCTGTCTCCTTTTAAAGTGTCAAACCTATTTCCGTCCATTTTATTAGCCACACACACACTCTTCACGGGCTCAATCGACTATATACATACATCTTTCAAATTATGTGCGAAAAAAAATAATAATTCAAACACACAAAAAATCTAATTAGAAAGAGAGATGAAGAGATACATACACACGAAGAGAGAAGAATATATATTTCTATGTAAAACAAACAATAAAAGAAAAAAAATCATCATCATTCATAATAAAACAAAAATGCTCGTGTGGACATTGCGGATAAATTTTTTTTCTTTTCCTGTTCCAGTGTGTGTGTGTGTGTATTCGCGATCATAATACATTTACTTTCTTTTCTCTTGTTATCTTTTTGTTTTTGCTTCAAAAAGAAAATTCATTTAATAAATTACTTAACTAAATAACTTAATGGATCGCTGTTCCGTAAAAATGAACGAATGTTCTTTCTCTTTCACCTTTCATTTCTTTTTTTAAATACAAAATTTTCCTTTTCTTCTGTTCGGATTTTTGTTTTTGATTCATTTAATTTAGATGTGTTTGCCGCTTGTTTCGATATTGGCTTCTTTACACAATGTCTGTGTATTTTCGCGTCGCAGCCACAATTTTGTTTTCTTATTTAATTTTTTCTTCTTTTTTTTCAATAGGAACAATTGATTTTGGACTGTTTTTTTGTTGTTTTCAAATGCATTTTTTCCACTGCGATGATTCAAATATCGTTGCACACGTGCATAATTTCCAATCGAAGCTGTAAAAAACGTTTTTTTTTTCTATGTTCAGATTCGTGTCATTTGCGTTCGGATTAATCGACATATGTACTGGAATTCTTTTTCTCGACCATCGATAGCGTTTCCGCCATCGATTTGTGTGAGGCTTTATGTTCGATCGTACAATGATTTGCCCACATTGGTGTGGTTGACGTTTGAAGTGGCTGATATTTTGATGTTGCACTTTCATTGGCCACTTGCTGTAGTTTTGCGGCCAACGTAAGAGCGGCATTCGATGGGACCGTTGGTGATTTACGGTCGGGTGCACTCTTGTTGTTTACCAATGGATTTGTGCTGCTCGATGACAGTTGTGCTTGAGTACTGCTGCCACTACCGTTTCCACCGCCGCTACTGCTGCTGTTGCTGTTTGACACTGTCACTTTGCGATCATCTTTTGGAATGAGAAGACCGGGAACAGGTCGTTGAGTTGTTAGCGACGGTTGTTGCTGTGAAACCGTTGGTTGTAGTTTCCGTGACTTGGCAACTGGCCAAATATCGTCGATTTGTTGCTGCTGCTGCTGCTGTAGTTTACGCTTTTGCGTTTCTTGATTTCGGCTCGCGTCGTCCACATTGAAAGTGGCTCGATTTAATTGCGGCGGCTTCGGTTGTGGTGGTGTTTTCAACGAATCAATGAATTTCGCTTGAAACGATGAATCTTGAAAATTTGATGATGTGGTTGCCAGCTGTGCAATCGTCGATGTTGAATCAATTTGATTATTTTGCTGATTTGCTACGTGTTTTGTTTGATTGTTGGCATTCTTATTGGATTGCCACGATTTATCACCGGACGATGAAGACGGCGATGGTGACGTTGATGACGAAGACAACGCTGGTGCCACGGATGGAAACTTGGAGTTCAATTCATTACCCGATTCATCCGGCAACTTAACGATTTCAATGGAATTTTTCACGTTGCTATTCTTATTGTACAACGATCGGCTGAACGATTGTTCGTTTTCTTCATTGGTCGCAAAGATTTGCGTAGATGGCGGTAGCCGAAAACCATGCGGCACATTTTGCTGCTTTGCTTTACTATCACATTGTGCATCGGCAGCGATAATGGAACGCGATGTCGGATGAAATGTTTTTTGCAATGAATTTGCCTTCGTTTCCAAACTACCACCACTACTGCTTCCGCCGGATGCGCTAGGCCGTTTTGGATCGAGCTGCTTTTTCGACTTGTTTGTTTTGTTATACATATTTAAACGCTGGAAATCAATTGGGCTAATTTGACCCATTTGGCTCATTTGTAACTGTGATAACTGATCGGTAAACATGAGATGTTGCAGTGCCAATAGGCCGGGTGCGGTCAAGTTCGGAATCGATTCGAATGGTTTTGGTAAGCTCATTGTTGGCCCATATACCAATTTACTGGCATCGTCATTGCGAATTTCTTGAATTTCTGTTTCGCTGCCGAAACTTCGGTTCAATGGTGGTTTGAAAAAGAATGGAGGCGGTTGACCGCCGGCGAGATTCGGTTTAAATGACGACATCGACGGTCGTGGAGTGTCTGCTTGCGTCGGCCGTGGAACATTGTTAATGATAATCGATGTTTCCGATTCGGATGTGATTGGTTTGAGACCTACAAAGCACACAAAAACAATTACTTTTCTATGAGATACCGGCGATTTCAACGACGCTTACCTATCGACGTAGACGATTCTTTGGAGCTGCTTGTTATTGGGGTTTTGAATACTGGTTTCGATAATGATGATGACAATGATGACGACGACGACGACGAATTTGGTTGAGTCGATGTCGAGGATGAGGCTTGTTGATTAGGTTTGGTCGTTGAACTCGATGCACTACTTTTAATTGACTTTAGGTGATTTTTATTGGTTTGAGCTAATTGACCTAAGAGTTGAGCCATTGCCGCAGGATCTTGAAGCCTTCGAATGCGATCGGCGACACTGTTACTTGAGCCACTACTGCTGCTGGTGCTGCTGCTGGTGCTGCTGCTGGTGCTGCTGCTCGTCGCATTCGAGGGTGTGACAGTTGAAACGAGTGATGATGGTAACACCGATGATTTACTTGGATCCCATTTCGTGTCGATCGATCGTTCATTCGGCGATGCACACTTAACTTTAGCTACATTCTTAACTGGTTCCCTACTTTTTCGTTTTGATGTTTTATTTTCCGGCTTCTTAGCTTGCTTGTCGTCGACGGCGACAATGGCAGCAGCGAATGCGGCACTAAAATTTATTGACGACGATGACACGGACGGCCGCACTGACGACGCACTTGTGTTGGCGGAGGTGGCTGTTGTTGTCGCTGCTGCAACACTCGTTGCTGTCGCCGTCACCGTCGCCGTCGCCGTCACCGTCGTTGTCGCCGTCGTCGTCGTCACGGATATTTTATTGGTGTCTTTGTCTTTGGATAAATTTGTGGTTGGGAGTGCGGTATCGGATTTTTGTTCGGTTTTTGGCATCTTTGGCAATTGTACTAAAGGCGAATCGGTGCGTGGCTTCAGGTGAATCTTTTCAAAAAAGTCTTTTTTCGTGGAAAACTCCTCTTTCAACAGATGCTGATCGAAATCATACTCATTTTCGGCTGATATTGGTGGTGATAAGCTCTTTGCCTTTTCCTCTTTGTTGAAGAATAATCGACCTTTTGGTCGTTCGCTACTCGACGTGGGCTTCGATTCGACGCTCGGCCGTACCGACGATGACGACGATGACGGCCGATCGGAAAACGTTACCGTCTTTGACTCTGAACGATTTGATGTGGTGTCACCCGATTTTGTGGCTGAACTATCCAACATTATCGATTTCGTTTTCACTTTTTCCTTTGAATCTTTCAGATCCTGATTCGTTCGCGATGGACTACTTGGTTTTGCATCTGAAATACAAGCAACACAATCTTGATCAAACAAAGTTTGCCCATAATTTTTACCTCGAAAGTAAACACATACCGTTTGTGGTCTTTGATTTGGATGTGTTTGGTTTTGGGCTGGCGCCATTACTTCTTCTATCCGATTGCGGTTTTTCGGGTGAGGGACTGGTTGGTTCTGATTTAATTCTAAGTGTGATGTCCATGCGACCTGATGTGGTCGGGCTCGATACTGTCGGCTCTTTTGTTGCCGTCGTCGATTCTTTCTTCTGATTCTCGCCACCATTCACCTGTGATGTGTGCTGACTGCTCGATTTTGAAGAAGAAGTACTAGCTACTGTGCTGGTCACCGTTGCACTCGACATTGTTTTTATTGTTGTCGATGTGGTCGATGATGAAGGAGTACTACTGAAATGTTCATGCCATTAAGAAAACTGCACAAATTCACATGATTTTCAATTCCATTTTTCTTACCTTGGTTCATCCGAAGTGGAATTGATTGGTCCATGCTGAGACTGTCGACTGGTTGATCCATTGGTTTCTGGTTCTTTTGTGCGCTCTGATCGCGCCTCACTGTCCGCATCAGACGATTGATCTTGCTCATGATCCGTTGAATCGGATGCACAAACTAATTGCGAATTGGTTTGGAAATGATTTGGTGGTAAATCATACATCACAGCGCTCTGTTCAATATTTGCAACCGGCGAATGAGCTGCTCGCACACAGTAAAGGAATTTCATTGGTGCATCCTGTAAAACGAAATACAATATTCAGTTCATTCCAAAAGAAAATTGAAAAGTCTAGTTCATTCGCGTTTGCAAACGAAACGCTTACCCTTTTCCATGTAAATATATATGCAACGTCCATCAGTGTATAATGGTCAGGTAATAAAAGCGGTTTCACTTTGTACATAATCTCCACGCAAAATTTATTTGGATTGATGCTAAATTTATGCAAAAGAAACTTTTTCAAATTTGAAATGGTGAATATCGCCGGGCACTGCAAGTATTTTGGTTTTCTCAGCTGCACTTCGAAATCATCCTGATCACAGTGATCGCTTGAGTTGATTTCATGACTGGAATTACTGTTTTCGTCGTCACTATTCTGTGGCGCCGAGCTACGTTTCGATAAGAATGAAGACAAAATTCATTAGCATGCTTTTTCCATTGCGCAGACCGCATTTATTTCAAAGGAAACCACTGTTATCCATTCAAAAAAACCTACTCATTGTCCGAATACTCGAGCATCAGTGATATGCTTTCGTTGGGTCCGAATATCAAATGTTCCGTATCGTCACCACGCTGTTCAGGTGTTGCTTCTAATGCTTCTTTCGTTCTAATTTTATAGAATGCACGTCGCCTCAGTAGCTCCTTCTCATATAGTCCAGGCACCAGTTTATAGACAATCGCTTGTAACGTTGCATCAGGTCTGAATAAGAAATGATTGGAAAGAAATTTCAATGAATATCCGAATCCGAATAGAAAAGATGAGATTTAAAGCGAACAATGGTGACTTACTTAATATTTACTTTGACTTTGTTGATCAACATTTCACAGCTCGGACAATAAGTTTCGTGTCTTAAATGCATCATGATGCAACTGTGACAAACTGCAATTGTGAGTGAAGAAAAGTGATTGTGATGAAAAATCGAATGTGAAAAAAAGCGAGTCAATAGTGTTACACGAGTTCAATTAAACCAAGTGACAAATGGTAGTCATAATTGTAATGGATTAAAGGAGAAACGAAGCAAATCAGGTCAAAGAAAAGAACATTGACCAAATGAAAAATTGCTACCATGAGTTCGGTTACATTTGTGTGGCAATCGTCTCTGTTTGAGTAATATCAAGTATCGTGTCACATTTATGTGCGCAAACTATATCATCGTTATGCATTGCCTAAATAAAACATAACGAATGCACTTGGATTGAAAAATCAAATATCATTTTCAAAGTGTGTTTGTTCTATTTAACTCTTTGCGAACGGTATCATGTGCACTTTATCGATTTTTTTCCCTTTGCAGCCGGTTCGCCGTGTGATGTTTTTTGTTCATTTGCGTTCAATGAAAACAAAAAAGAAACTCAATGGCACAACCGTACACGATAATCCACCCCAATTTCTTTTTCTTCGTTGGAATTGAAATTTGGGTCGACGAACAACACAATTTGAGACTGGGTTTGATCTTTTTCACTTACATGAATGTAAACATTCCACAATTGTCGTTGCATCAATCAGATAGCCTTTACATAAATTACATGTTATGTGCGGATTAACTGTTTCCAGATAGACTTTTGGTGGTATTCTTGGCATCGATAAATACAATCTGGATTGTACCATGTCTGCGAGGGAAAAAAAACAGAAATTAAAACTCAATTTGGTGTTCTTGGATTCATTTTATCGGCCACTTACCTCTAGTCGTCACCGCAGTGGTGGTGCTCGTTGTTGTGCTGGTGGCCATTCCACTTTGATTATCTTCTTATTAAATGAACTAATTTAAATTATTAATCGATTGATTTACTGTGTGCCACTTTGTTATCTTTTTTTTCTCTCGTTTGTTTTGTCGATCGTTTGATGATCCAGCTTAACAACTGGCCGTAACCAACACCAAATTACACATAATAGTTCATTTATTTAGCAGCAGCGAAAAGAAAACATTTCATTTGCGAACAAAGTCAAAGATCAGTGTTTTTGTGTGTGTATGTTTTTAGTCCCACTACGAGAATAAATTGTCTTCACTGTTGTGATCAGTGTTTGTTTATTTTTCCTCTCATAAATTTGCCGTGTTATTATTCATTCGATTTGGAATTGTTTTTTTTTTTTCTTATTTGGGGTGGCCGAGAGAGTGCACGTGAACACAGTTTGATTTTATCTTCACTGACAATTAATTTGATTGGTTTGAAATTCACACATAAAATTTGTCAAGATTTGTTGTTTTTTTTCACTCACTCTCTGCGTTATTCCTTTCGAGCACAATTTTCGTGATTTAGGTCGAATAAAATTTAAATATTGTGGTTCTCAATCAGTCAACGGTCGAATCAACGAAAGGAAAAAAAAGTATTGTAACCCGAAAAACGAAAACGAACCGAAAAAATAAAACAAAAAAAACTTCTTAAAACACATCACATCACTGAATATTTGAACAAAACACGGCAAAAAATGAATTTTTTTTCTCTTTCTCTCGAATATCGTATATATCGTATATATACTCTTGTCGTTTGTCGTTTGCGTATGAGTGTGTGTTGTTTCTTTCTTTCTCGTTTCACGATGCACAACTATATCAATGTGACGGATCCGTCGATGGTTTTGTATAGATGAAGTCTTCAGTGGTGGTGGTGGTGGAGTTGCTGCTCCTGCTGCTGCTGCCACTGCCACTGCCAACCTTTATATAAAACATAGTTGCCCTTGTGTGTAAACCCAATATGTAGACATTTATGGTTTGGCGAAGTAAGTGAGCGAGTAACGCGTATGTATGCGTATGTGTGTTCTCTCGTATGCTTGTCTCGTTGCCTGCGGGAGCGAGCGAGCAAAAAAGAGAGTTGAATATGTATGCGTGCGTGTTTGTGTGTGTGATGTTTCGAGTAGCGATCGGTTGTGTTTGCTTCAGTAAATTACATATTACACCCATACAATGACAGTAATCCGCACGCTCTGAATGTGTCGTCTTATGTCGTTGTCGTTGTCGTCTACTGCTGCTGATGCGAGAGAGTTTTTTTTATGTTTCTCACATGAGTGTATATGTGCTTGGGTATATTATTTCGGTTTTTTCTTTCTCGTAAAGCGGCGCGATTCTTTTCGTACTTTGAAAGAAAAAGCCTCTACTCGCTCTCTGTCTCTCTGCTAAGTATGTGACACGAATATCGCTGAAAAATGTCTACCGATGTACCGAAAATGTTGTTATTGTTGCTTTTTTCCACATTTAATATTACTATTATTGCTCCCGATGCTGATGATGATGATGATGATTTTTTTTTCTTCGCCTTTCTTTCTGTCGTTTCACTCTTTACTCTTTTTTTTCTTTAAATGTATTCTCCTGTCTTTTAACGTAATGTTGTTGCTTTTTTTTTTAAATATTTTGTTGCTGTGTCTTGTATTTCTGCGGTTTCTGTTCGCTTCGAAGCTCCTTTCAACAGTTTCACTTTGCCGCTGATTTTGTTATCTTGTTGATTTCTGGTTTTTTGCTCTTTTGGTTCGTCGCCTGCAATGGTGGAGACAAAAAGAGACAAGAATTGAATTAGTTTGTTGTGGTTTTTTGTTGTTGTTGTTGTTGTTTGCAGCCGAGAGGGAGCAAGAGAGATAATTCGACAACATTAACTACATGTAAAATTGTATAAAAAAGAAGTGGCTTCCTCATAACGAGCATATTTCCCCAATCAATCGTGCTTTTAAACAATCAACCATCAAATAAATAGCATTAGTGTGTTCTTTTCTTCGTGTATTCTATGTGTGTGATGTCTTCGTTAAATGGTTCAAACCAAGCGCGCTTTCAATGGCATTTCAAGAGTAGAAAGGTCTCGCGCGCCGAATGTTTGATTTAAAGCCAACGAAAAATGAAGAACAAAAAGTGTTTTTACGAGTGAAAGAACGATCGCCAAGTATACTGTAATGGTGAAATGATTGAGGCGTTTTCCGACTTTAAACCCGTTCTTTTCCGTTCATTCGCACATTCAATTCCAAATTATGTATTGTGTGAAAAGGAATGAAGAGAAGCAACTCGACGAAAAAAAGCGATTGAGAGTAAGAAAGAGAAAAAACGGCGAGCTGTGGTGTGCCAAAAGAATCGACAGAAGAAATGTGAAAAAAAAAACTAACAATGATGATGAAGAAAAAAAATAAGAGATTTCGACGGTACCAACGACGGTATGAATGCGTAGACGTCCAATGATGACGAAATAAAAGAAAGAATAGACCAACAACAACCATAACAATAACAATAGCAACTACCACCGCAGTGAGTGCCGTGTGTGTTTGCCATATAATACCATTTTTCATTTTCGGATAGCGTTTTTAGTTCCTTTTTCCACACACACACACACACACACATACACGATCTCGCGGTCTCTTTTCCACTCTTGCACCATTCTGGTCTCTTGCCACACAAACCAAAGCGAACAGATAGAAAAAACAATTCATACACATATCGTAAATGCCCACTATGAACAAATTCAATAGAATAAAGAAATATAACAACAACAACCACGAGCCAGCGAGTGAGCAAGCGAGAGAGAGAGAATAAGAATGAAAAAAAAACATCATATTAAATGAATTATTTCAAAACGACGCAACTGAAGAGCAATCAAACTGAATTTCGAAAGAAAATATACGACGAATCAAAGAGCATATGTGATGTTATTCTCTTTTTATTCTGGCTTTCTTTCGTTCAACGAATTAAAATATCTCTACGACTTCAATACGGTACAACGACACATTGTGTGCGCTTGAAATTTTGGCATGTAGCAGCGCGATTTCATTATGCATATGAGAGCTTGAATATTTAAAACCTTGAAGAATCAATGAATAGAGAGAGAGAGATCGTTCTCAGAGTGGTCGAACTAAGGGATGGCGTCTCTTTTTTGCTTCCATCACATTAATCAATGGATTGTTGCTGTGACGTGTCCAATGAAGGTTTCCCAGTTCACAACCATCACCATGGTATCCGACGACAACGATGAGCGGTAGCTTCATACTGACTCTTTTCCATTTCGGTGTGTGTGTGTGTGTGTTACTTGCCTTTTTTTCATCGGTATAACCGACAGCCGCACCATTGAAATGGCAATCATTGAGCAATACATTATTTCATCTTCGGCTTTTTCTATTCTTTTAAAATGTGATGTGCAAATCGATTTTGTCACTTCATCTATATATTCACTCAAGTGTGTGTGTGTGTGTGCGATCAGCATCACGCGATTTATCGATATCGATCGGGGCGTTGAATGTTAATGCACACACAAAGTGGAACAAATTGAAGTTGAATATATACGTTAGCCAAAATGCTTAGGCAAATACCGAGAAATTGGCACATGTATTTTAAATGTATGAATTCTGGGTGCGAGCGCGAGTGAGCAAACGTGCTATGGCATAAGAAATCAATTCAATCATCAAAATTCCGTTCACTGAAATTAAATTCAATGCAAAATCGAAAAATCAAAACGAATATTTTGGGCTTTTTGTTGTCTTCATCTCACGTTGAAACCGAAAACGAGGCGACAAAATCGTGCATATTCACACGTTTTCGTTGAAACTGCACGCGAAAAAGCGCTGCTGACAAGAGCAAGAAATAGGATAGAAAAAAAGCGAACAAGAGGGAGAGAGCGCTCGATCCGAAGTGAATAAAAAACACGAAGAAGATGAAGACAATTTTGGCCGCCCAAAAAATGACAGAGTCAACCTAACAAGCAGCCGAAAAAAAGGCACACTGAGAGACACAAATCGAGACCAACGTTCATCAAGGGAGAAACGAAAAATTAACAACAGAAAACCAAATGATCCAAAAGTAATACATATTATATAATAATATTGCGCTGCCTGTCCAATGTATTGTATATTATATGCTGGTGTGCTACGACTATAACCATGATATTTGTTTAATTCCTTCTTTTTGTCGCTGGGTTTTCGCTTCTTCGGCGCTTCTATTTTGTTTCACTTTTTTTTTGTCTGTTGTGGCTGTTTTGTATTCTTCGCCGTGTTTGACGGTGTTGTTTTGATGGAAGAGAGCCAGAAAGAGACAGAATGTATGCGCATTTTATGTGTATGGTTAACATATTGGGTTCGGTTTATTGTGTTCCGCTGTCACACAGTATTGACGATGATCAATTCGGAATACTGTCATGTACGCATTTTATTTTTATGGAAATGGGTATATGAATATGAAAAAGAGAATACAGATAAATTATGAGCTACAGTCTTTTCTAGCCGCTTGAGTACACGAGACAGATATAGAGGGAGATCGAGAAATGTGTGTATTGGACGAGACAGAGAGACATTGGGGCCGAGACCAATGTGTATATATGTGCAAGCGTGCGTGTGTATGTGTGAGTGAGTGTTGTTGGCTCTTCACATACGGTTGAATTCGACATGCTTTAAGCGCGAATGTAAACCAACCAATCAACAGAAAATATCAAGGAAATCGGCTTAAAAATGCACAAAGGCAAAACGCTTTCGGGCTGCTTGTTTTCAGGCGGTATTTTTTTCTCTGTTTTGTTCTTATTCGCTTTAGATTCACGTTTGGACATCGACGGCAAATGTTTTGCTACTTGGGACACAGTGTGTTTATTTTTCACTTTTTTTTCTCTCTCTATTTTATTTGACATGATTTGTGTGCGCGAATGGCAACGACAACTATACAAAAATTTGCTCAGCACCAACAACAACAACAACATTTGTCTACGATAGTTTATTTTGTGCAGTAGCCGTATGTTCTTTATCGCTGTTGGAGCTTCTTGTTTTGGGTGTTTTACTGTCACCATTGCTCTTTTTCGTTACTTTTTCCTTCACATTCGATCTATTGCGTCTATTTACTTTGGCGCTTTGGTTCACATGTACACGAATAAACGGAAAAATAAAGAAAAAAAAAATGTTATTAATGGTTAGTTGATTTCGCCGTGCATAGCTTCTGTCTTTTGACGATTTTCTCTATTTGCTCACTTGTTTTTTTTATCAATTCTTGTTTTCAAACCGAACATTAAACTCGTCGTCGCTATTGTTGTCGTCTCTGTTGCCAACAACACTCACACACAGGTACACTGTAGTACTCTTTTTGTACAATTATTCAATTGGTGGATATCCATCAAAAACGAATTTTGTTTCATCCACCACTCAAGCAAGAATCAAGAGTGATCATTGTTGCTGTCGTAGTCGAACGTCACACAAACAACAACAAAGCACACGATTCAGACACACACACACACACACACACATACACACACACACAGAGAAAACCCATTGAAAACGGCCAAAACAAATAAATGGTGATATCAAAGCATATTTTTGGATGTCACTTTCTAAATTGGCGACAAGGATTTGCATTTCATTTTGTGGAATCAATATGAATTTATTCGGAGGGAGTAATCGCGTAGCGCGCATATTTTCATCGTGCGTTGTTATTCATGTGATTATTGGTCATCATGATCCAGTGCTGATTAAAACATAAATTCTGCTCATTTCAGGTTTTCTTTTTCTTCTTCTTCGTTTTATTTCTTGAAAGTGGATGGCGAGATCGATCGTTGATTAAATTTTTTTCTCCATCATTTCTGGTATTTCAATTAGCAATTTTTGCGATTTGGTGTCATGATTGTGTGTACTTGTGCTTGTACACAGCCCATTTGTTTATGCGATTGTTGAGCGCAACGCTACTGGCTACAACCGTTGTACAGCATTTTTTGATTTGCATGCACCACAATGAACGAAGCACACTATCAATTATTCACATGAAAATCTGACGAAGCAACGGCATTCATTGCAACTGCACACACTTTATTTCTTCTTCTTTTTCTTCTGAGAAACGCGAACGAACGAATCAAAATCCACCTAGCAAATTGTATGTCATTCAACACTCTCACTAAAACATGATACGTTTTCGATATTTTTTTTTGCTGTAAGGCAACACAAAATTCACCTTTTTTTAACTGATAAAAAAAACTGTTTATTAAATATGGGAGAGCTACACGTTGATTTAAAGCTTCAACTCATTCCAATAATTCAATGCAAATAAAATTTAATTATTTCCTCCACGGATTTGTGTGTATATTGAACAAAAATTAAAACAACGACAGTAAAAAAATAACAAATTGTGTCGTTTCATGTTGCTTTTCACTCTGTCAAATAAATCGGGCACACACAGGAGAATTATAATATGGCGTTTCACTATATTGCCATCTCGTTTCATTTTTTTCTTTCATTTCTTCGTTCGATCGAGCATTTGAGTCGTTGTCTCTTCTCGCTCACTCTATGTATTGCTGCTGTTGTTGTTGTTGTTGTTGTTTTTTGTGTGTTTCTTTTCTCGCTGTTGTAACTCTCTGTTAGTTGGTTGCTTGCTTTGCTTGTACATACAGTAGTTACTGTACGCACTCATCTCTCACACACGCCAAATGCACGGAATACATTGCCTATACACATCTGTGAACGACGAAGAGAGGTTTACCGTGTATACTGCATGTATATACACACATATCCAAATCAATTTCGATATATAGACAAACACATGCAGGCTGCCACTACTGAAAAGTTCACTTCATCCTCCGTGTGTTGTCGGCTTTACCAAAATGTACGAGACGAGGAAGCTTATTACTGGCCTGATCACAACAAGGAAGCTTATTAATGGCCCATAAGGACGCAATTTCTTTTCAGCACATCAATTCTTTTTCTCATCATTTTGATGAATAGCAAATGAGTGAGTGGCATGAGTGCAATTTTTCACCCCGAAACCATTGTGATTTCGATATTGATAAAACTCCTTGACCTGATTCATGCGTTGCAACCATCGTTTGATATTCCATATTGCACATCACAAGGATACATCGAATGGCAATGGCTTTTCATCAGCTTGTTCTCTTTCATCTCTTTATCTCTTCACTCGCAAAAAAAGGTTGGCTGATTTCAAACATCCTTTGGCCCTTCTTCTGCCTGTGTGTCCACTCTCTCTATCTCCGTAAATGAACTCGATGGAGACATGAAGAGGCGGCGGGGCTTCGGCCTGATGTCTGTTTACTTGTCAGTATGCATTATAAATCAACATAATCTTCATAGTCACAGTATATAACACAATGATGTTCGTATATTAGTTGTTGTTAATTTTTCTCTTCATTTGTTTCTGGTGTGTGTGTTTATTTTCCTTTCATTTTTTCCTCCTTTTTCGTCTCTCTCTCTCTCTCTCTCTTTCTCTTTTTTTTCACTATGTTACGCTTGCCGACTGTGTGTTTTTACACTGGCGACGATTTTTTTTCTTTCGCTCGCGCTTGTAACATTATTCCACATTGAAAACACATTCAAATACACACACACACACACTCGTGCACACGCACGTACGAACATCGATGAATATACACTGACACATCTATCTCTCTTCCTTATTTATTATTAGTTGAAGAGGAAAAAAAAACATTTTCTTCCATTTCTGCTTCTCGCTCCATCATTCTTGCCCACAAATTTTGTTGTTGTTTTGCGAATGTTGTGCTTTATTTTTTCTTTCGCACTGATTTTCTTTTGCCATTCACATTCGCACCAAATTTATATACTGCTGCAATTTTTCTTTCTCTCTTCTATTGTCGACATTTCGCTGAAAGCATGTTTCGCTGCTGAGAAGAAGAGAAAAAACCTAACTTTTCAATTTTGATTTGCACATATATTCAAATCACGTTAATCCAACGAGCCGATTCAATATTCACAGGCAATCCATCACGTTCATCGATTGCAACCGATCAAATTCTATTTAATATGCACTTATTTCTCCAAAATACAGAACCAACCATACACACATTCACGATTCGGCCAAACAGCTCTCATACATTATTTCATTCTTATTAAATTGTTGTGTGTCGACGCTTGAAAATAAAATAGTTTTACTTAAAACGCATTCAACGCATCAATTTATTATGCAATCGCAGAAGGAAAAATTGCATTGACTTGCCAAAAATGAAAACATTACACATGCAGATGATCACGACGTTCGGCAAAACAGATGGATCAATTAAAGCGCTGCCCTTACATTGTTATTGATCGAGAAATTTTGGGGTTTGAGGTAGTGTGATCAAAAAATTGAGGTTGTTATTTTGAAAATAAACTGGACCACCATTAAACCGCCTACAATATTCGGCTAACGATGAATTATAATGAGGGAAAAAAAAGTAGACGCGAACCGACACGGGAACTGATGTCAAATTTATTTGCCATGGAAACAAAAGCCAACATGAAAAATCTTTCCGAATCCATAGATGAATGGCATACGGCGAATGGCTACTACTACCTTTGCACCTCAATCGAATACGAGCAATGCTGTTGCCGTGCTTTGAACGAGTAGAAAGAAAAATAACGAGAGCGAGTGAGAAAAAAACATAGTGAAAGAAGGAGTATACACACAGTCGACACAACGAACAGCACAACAACAAATGAAACCGCGCGAGCGACCAGATCAAACACACAAAAAACGAATAAGAAGAAAATGAGAACACTTAATTTTTTTGTTCACCGATTGAATAAAACCAAAACTATTGAATGGCTGAATAAAAATCTCGTTCAGAAACGAAACCACCACAGCACGGTGAGAGAGAAAATATATCAGAAAAGAAAAATTAACCAAGGAAATTTGTGTCCTTTTCCACAAACACACACACACACATACACTCATTCATTTTGTAGATTTGTTGGCCATAAACGGAAAAGCGCACTTACAAACACTCATACAAACACACGCACGCACACCACCACACTGAAAAAAATGGCTAAACGAACAAACAACATTTTTCGCATTTCTCATCGATATGTTTTTTCGTCAATTTACAATAAACTACATCACGGGTAATAAATATGGTTTTCGTCGAAAACTGTTGATAGTAACAAATATTGGCTAAAACGCTTTTACTCGGATGCTAATGATGATGGAGTCGATTATAAAACAAAAAAAAAAAGAAGTGCCGAGCAAAATATGATATGCGAATTTGTTGATTACTATGCACTAACATATATCTATGGTAATATGCGCGTAATAATAGAGAGACCTATATGTGTGTATGATGTAGAATATATATATATACATGTATACACACACCAAATGTCTCCTCTCAACCGACCAACCAACAGTAGAAAAAAAAAAACAGAGAGAAATGGGTACGTACGAGACAGTAACGACGATGTAACGTCAACAAAGGCTTACTTTGAACTGTTCGCCATTCGATGTTGAATTGAATTCGTGTGTTGGATGTTTGTCCCAAAATCACGCACACTAGCGCAACACATTTCATACACATGCACGTGCACATATACAAACACACTCAACCACATTCAGTCACCGTCTTCATTGTTTTTGTATTGGTCGTGTGTAGTGTGTTACCATCGTTGCTAGTCATTATACATTTTTTTTGGGACACGGGCGCCTATCTCTCTTTTTCACTCTTCATCATATTTCAGTACTTTAGTTGCGATTTGCAATTGAGTCGTTTCGATGTGACTGCTCCAGCCAACAGACAGATAATTCCGAAAATACGCAGGCGAGACGCGTGAATGGGAATACACAGCAGGAATAAATGGAAATTACATGAGATATTGATAAAATTGAATGAAGAAGTTTTTTTTTTTACCGAAATTTCTTCTTCAATTTTTTTAATGATTCAGAAATATGAATAGCAAAAAATCATTTAAATTTACGGGTTTTTCCGACGACCAACAGTAGATTTTCTTTGCCCATTTCACAAGAAAATACAGTATTTTCGGATCAAGACCGGCTTTCCATGCGCCGAATTTCGAGTATCGCTTCGCATTTCAGTCAAACGAATAAACGAAATGTGGGCTAACACAAGCGGAACGTTCATCGTCGGCTTGTTGCCATCAAATTATGACATACAATCGAGAAACACGGTAAGCACACACAGTGCTAACGCACATTATTGTGCGCTCAGTCTTTCTTTCTCTCTCTCCCTGTGTGTGTGTGTGTGAGAGTATCTGTCTGCCTGTGTATATGTGTGAATTTTGATGTTTTGTTTGCCCGCTGGTGTTGTTGCCATTGTAATGAAGCGCGCCACCGAATAAAAACCTACAGACTTATATAAATAAATGCCGTGCGCGCTCTCTCGCTCCTCTCCAATGTGTATTTGATCAACGTTCAAGTCGTTTTGTGTCAATGCATGCGTGTGCTTCATTGCTGTGTATAGTGAACAAGGAAACCGTGGCCCAACAGAGGGAGAAGTAAAAAAAAACAGAAGAAAGAAATGAGATTGCAATTCAGCTGTATGTGTTGTGCACTGTGAATTGATTATATCCATGTTATTGTTGCATCTTATACGATTGCATACTGTTCGCTTTCTCGCGAACCACTGATTCCGCGACTACATGGTCTCTTTAATTGAATGTCGGTGCACATTTATGCCAAAATCTTGTCACAAACACCATTTTTTTCATCTCTGCACTGATTTTAAATTGTGCATCGGTTGGTGTGTTTTTCTCTTTCACTTGTTTTGCGTCAATTGAATCTTATCAAATCGTGTGATTTTTTATCAATCTTTATCTGAAATTACGATATTCATGTGATTGTTTTTATTTTAACCGCAACAGAAAAAAGATATCAAAAAAGGAACGATAAATGGAACGATATTGGTAGCCAGCGATTAATGCATATTTGGGACGATAGCGGTTTATGTTTTTTACCGTGTATGTGTATCCCTCTCTTGCTCTCTGATTGCATTCACTCCATTCTTCCCCGCTTCTTTTTCGGTGTGTTTTCAACGGCAAATGCCAATTACCGAGAGCCGCACAGAAATGAGAAACACACAAAGTTTGAAGATGGTTAAGTTGCATTCACAGGCCAGTGTAAATTGAGTTCGCGCATTCGCAGTAAACGGTCCATTCTTTACACATAATTGGTCGTTATGGATATGTGTGCGTCAAGCTGTGTTCTCTCTGTTCGGTTTTGAACCACATTGCATTCTATGCTGCAACTGATTGCACACCAATTTTCGTCGCACTCTCAATGACACTCTCGTATTTACACAGACTTTTTCTATCGCTATCGTGGATGTATTCGTAATGACAAGACACGACTGACAAAACAACCAGCCAGCAAACAGCCAGATAAAAAAGACATCAAATAAAGAAATCGTTTAAGTGCATCAAATTGAGCTATCATCATTCACTTGCCGTTACTGTACTTACGTACTTGCATCAGTTGTTTGGTTTTTCTCACTGGCCTTACAACTCTTTTTCATTTATACATCCACTTATATAATGACACTCGAACGCTTAGCACAAATGCAATTTCAACCATTTATTATCTCTTATCAGATGTTTCATTAATTTTTTGAGCACCGTGCTTGATTCAACCATTCGTGAATGCCAAAGACGCCTTTTTGACTTCAAAAGAAAAAAAAACGCTTGCATCTCAGTTATGATCACACCACTTTTCTGGATCTTGTTTCTGTTACGATTTTTTTTTTAAATAAAAACCTGAATCTTTTGAAGAAAAAAACATTTTTTTTCCTCTGAAGTTGAAAAAAAAATCTTTTTTCTCGAAATTCAAAATAAAACGCATTGTTTTCAATTACTTTTTTGTTGTTTTTTTTATTTTAATTGAAATAGATTTAAATTCACTGTTCGTTGTGATAATTTTTCATTGGTTTTATTGACACATTAATTTCATTTTAGTTTGTTTAAATGTAACGGGCACTTGTAGCTTGTATTTTTTTCTTGTTTTTTTTTTCTTTTATCACACATCTCTGATGTGGTGCAACAGTTTGGTTTTCTTTAAAAAAAGTGGTTATTACCAACAATATTTGGGGAAAATTATGGACCTATCGTTTAAATGGAATAAATTCCGGTGGTGTTAAAATTCAGTTTTTTTCAATAATTAAGAATTTTTCTTTGTGTGCATCATCTTTCTCATCAAAATTGGATCCAGATAGTTTTGTTGTATAAGTTAGGAGAGAAAAAGTGGAAGAAAAAGTTGAAGAAATAAAATTGACAATTAAAACATAAAAAAAATAATAATTTAATTGCTTCTTATCTACTTTCTTGCTATCATACATTGATTTTTAAGGTTTCTGCTTTTTTTTCTCAGTGTGTGTGTGTGTGGCGGTGTGAAATATGTTATTAATCTCTCGCTTTCCTCCTTTCTTCCATTTTCGGTTGTTTCATTCTCGAGTAGTAGAATTACAATTTCATTAAATCGATCAAATTGCAACAATTTGTATCATCAGTTAATTTCATCAAATTTTCTTTTCCTATCGTTTTCTATGCATTTGGTGAGTTTCATATAATATATAATTCATCTATATCTTAAATGTCATTTTACATCTAAAATTCCATTATCATTTAACTAAACGCTACTCTCGCATTACCGCTCTTTCTATCTCTCTTTAGTTTCAGTATTGAGTTTTGCATCTCTCTTTGTTTTAAAAAAAATGAAAATGTTTTCAATTAGGTACTTGATGACGGGAATTTTTTCACAAAAAATGTCCCACTTAAATGTTAGACTTTGTTTTTAGTTTTTGTTTTGTTAAATTTTTTCTTCTTCTTCTTCTTCTTCGGTTTCATCAACAGGGAAAAAACGAAAGTGTATTGCCCTGATATATTGTGTATTAAATGTGTTTATCTATTTCGTTCTTAAAAAAAAATCTGTAGAAAAATAACAACAAAACGTAATTAATCTGAACTGTTTCTCATTGGAATTGCTTGTTGATATTTCATATTGGCGGCAAATTGTGCCCGCACCTATATATTTCATCTAAGTTCTGATTTATCTCTTTCTCTCTCTATTTATATCAAAAAAAATTCTCGTTTCGGTTGATGTGATGTGTATGTGTTTTGAGTGCTTTTAGTGTGGACATTATTTCGATTGATGATCATTTTCATAAAACCATTGCTAATCCATTTGCACGGTCTCTTTTTTATTGATATCAACAAAGTAGATGTCACGATGGTTCTGAAGTATAAAATCGATGAATGCATTGATTGGTCCAATTTCCTGCATTGACATTTGGTTCTCTTTGCCCCACACAAAATTCGGTCCAAACACAATGGCCAAATTCGATGAGGTCATCTTATTCAAATCCTTGCACTCTTCCACCTTCACCAGAAATTCGATCAAATACTTGAACAGCTCATAGTTTTCCACCGGCAATTTTTCACGCAACATTTGCTTTACATTGCGTGAACGCTCTTCTTTGGGCCATTCTGTAAGACGGAGACAATTATTAAATTTGAATTTTTTTTTTGAACAAAAATTGAGTGAATAAATTTTGTTGGAATTGAAAGAAAAATCAAAATGAATGAAGAAAATATTTAAAAAAAAAAAACAAATAAAATAATCTTTGAAATCATTTAAAATAATTCCATCGTTTTTTTTCTTCATTACATTACCTAGAAAACTAACAATCTCATCGTAGAGCTCAAACGTGAGCAGCGGTTCTTGAAGTTCTCGTAAAAATTTCTTAAGCAGTCCGGCAATTGCGTGCGTATCGACGTCTTTAAAATCGATCGTTTCGCCAGCATTGACACGTTTAATGATATCATCGATGACATTTTGTATGCCGGATCGTCGGAATAAACCCTCTGTATCGATTACACCGGTTATGGACAGCGAATCAACACATTTCCGCACGATGGGCGGAATATAATTCAAGCATGGACTATTTTCATTGATGAATTTCAGCGTAACACCGAATTGAGTGGTTTTTGGTATATTCTGATTTCTGGCCGTTGAATTGGCTGTCGTTTTACCTCCCGTTCGGAATTTATCATCGAATCTGTTGAAGAGTGATTTATTCCTTTTTAGTATGATTATGTACAATGATGAAAGAGATGAAGAGATAGAATGAAAGAAAGAAATAAGCACGCAAACAAACAAAGACGTGTGTCCACATACTCTCGAATGCTGTCGGGTAGCTTGAGATTTGGTATACCGAGTGCTGGCGCTAATTGATCCAAATTGGCAATGTAAACGAGCTTATTTTTGAATTTTTCGCTAATAAATGGCTTGAAAAAATTCCACACCACTTTAATGGTCCACGTTGGATGCACCACATACAATCGCTTGAGATTTTTCCGAAAATTACGATCCAGTTCACGGTATGAATTCCACAAAAATTGAATTGACGGCTTATTGGCTTCTTTTAATCCCTGATGAAAATAAACAATGACGTAGTCGTCGTGCACATATGGTTTCATTTGAGTAATAATAAACCTAATAGAAAGCCGAACGAGAAATGAAAAATGCGGAACTTGAAATGTCAATAAAATTATGTGAGCTGTTATATTAAACTAAATCGAATATTGCACATTTCCTGCCTCGCGCAGGCACAACCACCGTAAAATATTGCAAGAATTTCACGTTTCAGATTCAATCAAACGACGTATTCAATCGATTGCGGTTCATTCAATACTAACTCGATAAAAATGTGTCCGTTAAGCTCTTGACGCTCGGGCAGACGGCATGCATAAATGGCGAATATGTGTTGACCCTGTTTGTCGGTGCCGAAATAATCGATAAACTTCAATTTTGAGTAATTCAACGAGGCTGTCAGCTCATCCGCCTGTATCGAAAGTATTAACGTGTTATTTCTTTTTTTAAAGTGCAATTAATGATAGGGTGACCAGCTCTTCTGATGTCAAATTCCCTACGAATAGGCCAATTTTATCTGACAAATCCGTATAAATCTGGACATCAAGAAGAAAATCCGTACGAAAATTTTCAAAAATCAGTACAAAATGGAACACGAAAATAAATCCGTAGGCAGACCGAAAAATCCGTACGGATGGTCACGTTAATAATTAATGCAATCAAATCCGAATTGTGCGAATGTAGTTTACCGTGTTAAAATACCATTGATTCCACACAAATTATTCGGTTGGTGTAATTGATGTATGTAACATGAATATACTCACCTCAGGCTGTGGTAATTGATCTTCATAATTGTCAGCCCCGAGTGTATCTTGAATGTCGGCGACCGCCTCTTCCAATTCTTCCGTGTTGAAATCATCATTATCTAAGTCATATGTGTCGGCTGAATGTGGTGTTTGCCACAAGGATTGCCATTTAGTTGAGTTACCAGCATATGCGTTTGCAGGAATTCCATTGATAAAAGATTAAAAAAACACACAGAGAATTAAGTAAAAAAGGTTTTTTTTGGGGGGTTTTTTCTCTTTCTCCAAACTATGCAAACAATTCAAGAATCTTAAAAAAAATACGTGTTATCAATGGCTTGATTCGTGCCCAGTGTGATAACTCTAGAAATAATGAACGAAAAAAAAATGAAGTAATCCAGTCGTAATTGGGATATTTGGCTTGTTTAATGGGCGTACAAATGATTCAACAATGGACCTATCTATTTCTATTGAAAATGATCCCCGTGAATTAAGTTGAACAATTTAATTTTGTATTCGGTGAATTTTGGATCGAGAAGCGTTGATTTGGATATTATTCTGCGTGTAGATAATTCACGAAACAAACAAAAAAAATGGCCTTTTTATCAAATTTCATTGAATTTTATTATCTCGGTATTATTGTTATCGTAATAATGTTAAAAACAACTTGACACAAAATGAAGACAGCAACTTAGTGCTTGATTAAACGCTGAAAAACATAGCAACAATAACAGCATTTAGCAGATCCGCAAACTGTGAACACGCGAACAACAGTGATGTACAAAACGAAAACACACATACATTACGGTTCACAAAGATACACAAGTGAAATAGAGCCGAGTATGCAGAAAAAAGGCACACACAAGGCAATTCACGGTTCAAAATGTAGTGAAAAAAAAGATGAAGAAAAAAAAATGAGCAGCAGAAGCTAAGCGCGGCTGAAAAAAACTAATGATGGCATATATATTTACCGTTCGTTGTGGCTGGATGGGTCAGTTCAGTGTCATCGAACTCCAAATTCGGCTCATGATCATGCCAATCGGATAAGCTGGGCAGTGGTTCATCGCCGTCATTTATTATTGGATTGATAGCCGGACCTGCAATGAGCACATGCATAGAGATTAACATTTAATAGCACCTCTTGTCTTTGGGTCGAACATCGAGAATTTTCATGCATAAAACACTAAACACTTATGTGCATTGACCGAACGCGCGCGAGCGCTCAAACACCCGCACGCTCACTACCAAAACGGTATATATAATGAGGGAGTTGAATTGAATAAAACGAAATTGCACACCAAAATGAATATTTCAGTAGTTTTGTTGAGAAAAATGCAAATAGCGTATCTTACCAGGTAAATAGTTACTGCCACGATTCTGTGATCTTGACGGATCCATTGTATTTCTCTGTCTGTGTGTACGGTGTTGTTGTTTTCCGTAAGTCAAGCGCGATTTTCTCGCGACCAACCAACCAACTGAATGGGCGATCGGTCGTTGTGACGTATAAATTGCTCCTCAACAGCAGCAGCAGCAATAACAATAACACATAAAAATCGAAACGACATACACTCACCAAAACCGATCACAATGAATTTATACTGAAAATCCGTGCCGTAATTATCATTAGCCACAGTCGAGTTTTCACTTTCTACCGCTAAAATAATTCGAAATCAGAGTGTGTGTGTGTTTTCGTCTTCTCCTTCAATTTGATTCGATTATATGTGCCTTTTGTTGAGGTTTTTCAAACTGCGATTCAGATTTGTGTGAGGTAAAGTGGATCGAAATGAAAACGAAATAAAGAAGAAGAAGAAGAAATTATTATTTTTTATGATATACACACAAAACAATCGGTAACACGAATCAACAAAATAGCTCGACGATGTGAAATGTGTGTGTTGCAACCGCGAATTTACAAATATACTCACGACCCCGCACACGCACTCACAATTATTATTCAACGCAAAAATCACTTTTGTCGGATCACCACACACACAATACACTGAACCAAAAAAAAAACACAGAAGAAACAAAAAATCTCCTCTATCCTCTGTTTTTACATGGGGGGAAAATGGAATGAATTGTGAATTTTACATATGTATCAAGAGCTTTGCGATGTTGTTTATTTATTTTCGATTTTCAAGAAATGTACACATTCATTTGATAGTTGGAGTGCAATTGAATCGTCATCACACTGTTGATTGAAATGCTTTGATTCACTTTTGACGCCATTCAACATACGAATACACACACTGTGTGTCACTTATTGTGTGTGATTTTTCCACCGTTTTTGCACGGCAAAACGAGAAAAATTTTTCAAACAATTGAGAAACACAAATTAAAACACACACAATTTCATACACAACCAATTACTCCTGTGAAACTTATTAGTTTTTTTTCTCTTCACTTTGCTGTCCTTCAAATGCGTTTAGTTGATTTCTTCGTGTAATTTTTTTTTCTCTCTCTCTCTCTTGTTTTGTCGCGCCTTTTGTCAAATGTGTTGATTGGCCTGTTGTACACATTGATACTTCCAGTGTGAAATGAAACCGAATGCCGAGAATAAAATTAAATGAAAAATAACAAATGAATTGACGTCATTTTCTGTCGTTAAAATTCACTGTGTGAGCGAGATCAATTTCAGTACGTATGAAATGTATCAACAAAGTAAATAATATGTGTTACTGTTGTCTAGTGCTGCTAGTGCTGCTGCTTTGACACAACGCACTCACACAACCGCCACCATCGTAGCGTATTGAATATCAAATATGATTGATGACTGCTGTATTGTACGAACGGAGCAGAGCCAGTCGTAGTTGATGGCTTGTGTTTGTGTGTGAGTGCGTGTGCCTGTATGTGTATGCAACAGAGCGAAAAAAGGGAGTAGAACGACAGCAGTATGTGTTTGAACTGTCAAAAATGTCGGTAACAGTGGAAAACTGGATTGTTTTGATTCGAATTCACGACATACATCTATAGTGTCGAAAACGATCAGCTGAATTAGGTAAACGCATCGAAAATTCACCCGAAAAATCCATGTTTCCATTCGTATTTTCTCACCCGAATAAATATTTAATTTGGTGCACTGTTTTTTTTAAGGCCACCAAACATGGATAACGACCAATTTTAACGAATTATTGCTCTCTTTTCTTTCTGTCTATTTCATTCGTGTCACACAGTTTGAGTGATTGAAATGCGCACATACATTTGAGTACAGAGGAGTCGCGGTAGCAAATGTCAAAAAGTGTATGTATTTGTTTATGAGTCTTATTTTCTTATGTAAAGGCCAACACAAATTTAGTAGTGTGTCCTGTTTTGTTTGCTAAATTCTAGTTTTATCCTTCGACTTATCACATCGCCTGACATTCGCTGATTGAGAGTGCTACACACATATCCATCACAAACGGACATACTCACTGCGTAGGGAATTTACGATGTCCGAAGACACTGAAACAGGTCGGGAGAGTTTGCCATCGATTAGTGATTTATCACTGAATCCACAATCAACACCCAGCACCAAAACAACAACGGCCGACGGCAAAGCCAAAGTTGAAAAAGGTTTGCATGATTCATTTGTTTATTCATCACTGCAACCAATCCGTTTGCGGCCAACCAATTATTTGCAACTAATATTTTCTTTTGGACTTGTTCCAGTGGAAATTTTGCTAAAGCCCACCGGAAGTGCACCCATTATAAACAAAAATAAATGGAGTTTGAATGCAGAGAAACGTGTTAGTTACATTTTATACTGGCTACATAGTTATTTCAAATTGGATGCAGAAGAAAAAATCGTAAGTTTGACCCACTTCCACCAATTCGCCCGATGTTTGTTTTTTGTTTCATTTCCATTGTATGGATTCTAATGTTTGGGATCGTTCTTATTTTTACTTTTTCTCTTTCTCCATTTTTTTTCAGTTTGTTTATGTGAATCAAACATTTGCTCCGGCCCCGGATCAAACCATAAAAAATTTGTACGATTGTTATGGAACAAATGGAAAACTGATATTACACTACTCGAAAAGCCCGGCGTGGGGCTAGTATCGGCGCCATTTTATCCAAATCAACCAACCCATATACATCCAACATTTTACATTTATAATTTAAAATTAATTCTCTTTATTCGTTTCCATTCTGTGAGAAATGCTAAGATAATTGTCATTTAGCCATTTAATTTCTAAGAATCGCAAAATATATGAAAATATGTCAGTTTTTGTATAATGCAAGCGCTTGTCTTTCACTCTTACGTTTCGGCCTCGAGAAGAGTCAAACAAATTGCCAATTGTTTATTGTGATGGCTCTGATTGAAGTGAGTGCAGTGAATGCATACGATATTTTAATTCATGACCATTTATGTACGGACAAATCAATCGGGTTTGATATTTCAATGATTTTTATGCTGCCAAAAAAGCTGAACATTTTCTAAGTCGACATTTTCATTTTGCATAAGGGAAGCTGTGACATGAATCATAACCATGCAAATTGTAATCGTTTGTGTATGTGTTAGATGCATTTGAATGACGTCTAAGGTATACACATATCAAAAAGTGTGCTTGGAAAGAAATTGAAAGCAAATAGCCCTTCCTTGAATTATTGAAAATGGTGTTTTTCAGGATATTTATTGAGATTTCTGTGTGAATTATTGACAAAATATCTAAAATAATGCCAAATCCGAACCTACTACCATTATAAAACCAGTCTTCTGTCAAATGCATCAACTAATTGTCCATGTCAAATTAATCAAGGCGCAATCAGAACTTAATACAATTCATAGTTTATGTCCTTGACTATTGTTTTTGTTTGCTTGCACATCATAAGACATGGTGTGCAGTGGTGATGATGAACAATTTATTCACTATATAGTGAAAAGTCGTATTGTGCGATGGCATGAAACGCAAAAAATAAAAATTGTACTCCATTGGATTGGGATGTATCTCGGTTTCTTATATTATTGGCTGTCCCATTGCTAGCGGCACACAGGCATTGCGTTATATCTTTTGACGTGTGTCCGCATATTCGCACATCGCACAATCGCATTTATTGGTTGGTTCGCAACAGGCGAATCGTTAAAAGAATAAAATTGCGCGCAAACACACTACATACACACACACAGACACTACAGAAAAAGCGTTACATGTCGCACTAAACTTGTTCATAATAAGTGAGAGAATTTTTTTAGGAGCCAACAATAGCATAACCAATAAAAAAACGGCAATGTTTGCATGGCTATTGCGATAGGACGTTGCGTTCATTTGGCAAATAGCAACAGCGAGAGCAGCAGCAGCAACAACAGCAACACCAATAACAGAATGCTGTAAGAAAGAAGAAAATGTCTCACGACCAATGTACACAATCAAAACCATGTACACAATTTGTTAGAGTTTACGGGAGAGCGAGAGTGAGCTCCCCTTTGATGCACAATTTTTTGTTTTTGAATCATTTTGATATATGTTTTGTGCCACGATAAATAGAGAAAAACCTCATACTTAGATTTTTGAAAAATTGCGTATTTGTCGAGAAAACCGGAAAAGAGTCAAAAGTGTCAAATCACTATAAAAGCTTGAAAAAATTAAATTTCATAAAACTAATGATGCAGAAAGTTAAATTGATGTGTTTTGGTCCTACGAGTCCTAATTTGACAATTGAAAAGAATGAACAAACCCACAAGATAAGAGGAGGAAAAATGTGGAGTTCTGCTATAATTTCACTTTTTTTTACAGCAGTACATGAACAGAAAAAACGTTCCATTCAGCCAGCCGATTGTAGCCTGTAAAGTATCAAATGTAAGCTAGTTCATTTCCCTACATTTGTTTCCAAACAAGAATGTAAAAATATTCAGTGGTTTTTTTTTAGCTATAGCGTCTGGCGTATCTGGTTACTTTAGGAACCGAAATGTGATAAAGGGTTAAAACCGACGCGACGATGAGCCGGTGAAATTTGAATTTTCCTCTTCTAAACTTTTGACACGAATTGAGAGTAGTGGCGAGCATCGTTCTGTTAGCGATGGCTGATCCATTCGGTCGGATGTTAAACGAATTGTTAAATGTTTGATTGAAACCCATACTGATGTTATCATCTGCATAGAAGACTTATATGTCTTAGCGTTTTGTATTATGTGTGCAACATGCAAAACAATGACAAAGCTACACAAATGTCAAGGTATGGAAAACACGACGACAAATGGACGAAGTGCGACGCCAATTGTGGATGCAAAAGCGATGAATGCCCAACCTATACTTTTGGCCGGTGCAAGATAGCGGTGGCGCCTAAATAAGATTTATTAGCAATTTGCGGCATTTTTAAGAACTATCAATACTTGTTGTTGTTGTCATGAATTTCGCAACAACAAGAAGTATTGATAGTTCCTAAACTTGCCGCAGACCCTATTTAGGCGCCACCGCTACTCACTATCACGTCAAATACATTGGTTCTTATGGCAGAGAAGCACAGGTTGTAAATGCCATAGATCTCGGTGTAATATTTGCCAAACAATATTAGCAAACAAGTCACGCCGTCCACGACAAACTCTCCAGTGAACTAACTTTGGAACAACTCGACTTTATGGAATACTCAAGGAATCGATCCGCTCATATGGCATTAAATAGTTTATGTCGCCACCTTTCCAAAACAGTATAGTATAGGTGTCGCTCCCCCTCGGATCCCCCCAAAATCGGCGTATGTATAGGGAGGATATGAAAATCTCATGTGGCTACCGAAGGTCAATGCTCCGTACCTATAGGAGGTAGGGCATTAGTCACTAGGGCAAAAATATAGTACTCGTGAATACCTTTCTAGCCATGTATATGGTGACCCTCCCGGGTCCCCCTTCGTGAAAATATAGGTATTGGCAAAAATTGATGGGAAAATGGAACTTTTCTTTTACTGTGCTTTGAGGAATATGAATATTGTGTCGATTTTTTGTATCCTGAGGATAGCCTGGGTTCAGTACATCTCATTTCAGTACAAACATTTGCATCTTTTGGATTTACCGTTATTTTTTCCTTATTTTATGTGTACAACTTTCATATTTTTTTCAATACCTTTGCATATTTGTCCTCAGATGTTACACATACGACACTGGTCTCTGAGGCAAAGTAATAGTACTTCATCAGAGCTCCACAGCGCACCGTACTAAAATGTACTAATATGTACGAAAGTGTACTGAATTGTACTAAAACTACAAAAATGGTTCTGGTGTATTTCTAATGGTTCCTGACAATCCCAGGAGACTGTACATCGTACTAAACGGCGTACTGAATGGTACTAAACCGTGACAAAATATAATGAAACACACAAAACTGAACCCGTCCATTGATAAAAAGGAGAAAAAAATGGTACTTGCAGCAAATCTTCAACGAGGCAAACAACAATAACAACAACCAGCACGAGGTCGATCTCTGAAGAAAATTGGTTTATATTTACTTTTGAACATTTGCTTCTTGTTTTTGTTGAACATTTTACTTTTCGCAGTGAAACGTGAGCCACCAAAGAGCAATTAGATGCTGAGCTAGATCAATACATGGTGAACACAAAATCCAGTCTCGACCAGGAGATGAGCATCTACACGAAATAAACGATCATCCATGTTAGATGAAAGAATAAACACTTTTGATAAAACAATCAATGATAACCAATACAAGAAAAAGAACATTTTCACTCTATTTATTCATAAAATTCCCCCAAATAGTCAGGACAAACCGTCCAAACACAACGCAATTATTAAATGCTACATTTCTTCGTTTTCTGTGTTTCTCTCTCGGTATATACATAAAACATAAATTACACTTTTTTAAACCAATTTACAAAGTACAGTTGACTCATAAACAATTGTGAAAATTGTAGAAGGAAAAAGAGGGAAAATGGTACGAAATCGAAAAGAATTATAATACAATCTATGTGAATGATCAAGTGAGATGAAGTGAATATCGAACAGGGTTCACGAAGTGATGTTTAAATCACTTGAACTTGAATGGGATGAGCTGGGAAAATCTGTTGGTCCCGGTGCATCGGTTGAAATAGGTGACTTGTGGATATCAACCTCAAAATATTTCAATTTGAGATCGATTACCTCCTTGATTTGTTTATCGGAAACGGATTTCAAACATATAACATCGAATGGTTTTTGATTTTGATTGACTGCTCAGCCCTTCGGATCCCCGATTTCCGTGAGAGAATCGAACTCACTACCGCCGGTGCTCCGGTGCACGCGTTTAACCACTGTGCTGTGGTGGAGGATTTCAAAATTGAAGCTTCAGAAGGTCTTCTAACGCAATCGCAGCAGATCCATTCGCCGTATCTCAATCCCCTCTTCGTTAGGAACTGCATGTATTTTTTTAAGTTGTCAACGATTGCAAATTTTGCTTTTTCTAACTTTGGTGAGATGTGAACCAGAATAATTTATCTTCCCCAAACGCAATCGGCATATTATTTCCCCAACTTGTTCCTGTAAATAAGTTTGATAAATAAATAATACATTTTTGATATGCCAATTGAATTGGCTTATGTTGTATTGCCAAAAAAATGTGATTGCGGATGAAAAGCACAACATAAATGTGATTGCGGCAAACCTTTAACCAAATATTCGTCGGCTTTAGCTAAACATGCGAAAAATCTTGGCCACAGATTCAAATTTGATGATGGAAAAATTCTAAAAAGAGAAAGAAACAAAACAAAACTACAAATACATGAAGTTAACCAAATCATTAAAGAACTTCAGGTATTTTCGTGCTTTTTGACAGATGTACTAAATTGGATGTTTTTTGTGTCGCCATCTGGTTGGTGATACTAATATCTTCTCGCACGGTTCTGA